GAGGGGGCCGGATGCGGTCCAAATTAATTTAAATAATCATTTTAGTTCCTGCAACTCTCCCATAGATGGCGTAGAAAAGGGCCAAAATCATGTAGCATTTTAAGCCTTTATGCCACTGCCTGCTCACTGCTGCCCCCTCTGACTGTCTTCCTTCTGCTCCTCAGACCCCTGTTCGGACCACTCGGGGTCCCTGCGTCTCATCACCATCAAACCCATGACGGCCCAGCCCACCTACTCCTACCCCTCGTCCTCTTCCCACAGCCAGGACTCTGTGGTCCTGAATGGAGACGTGAGTCTGCTGCAGGGCTTAGGGCGCACTGCTCTGTGAGGACAGGTGGTGGCAGTGTAGGGCAGAGCTAAATCTGGATCAGAGCTATTTCTGGTCCGGAGGTTTTTGTTTTTTTTGTTTTTTTGGTTTGTTTGGGAATTTCATTCATCCCAAAAAAAAAATGAAATTAGGAAATAAGTAATAAATATGAATGCACTTTTGTCATAATTAACTAATTAAAATAAGAATCCTAGCTTCCGATAAAGTAAATGTCCTCATATTTGCTAAGCTAATGAATTTCCTAAAAGCAAAAAATGTGGAGTTCATTATATGCTGATGATATGAACCCATGACTTAAATCAAACTGCGTTTTTATAGGTTTACTGTTGTGGTGTCACTCACGTTAACTTCTGTCTGGAGCTAATGCTAAGCTAACTAGGTTTACGTGAAAACCCGACGTTTGTCTCCAGGTGAATCACGTTGGACTGAAGCAGAAGTCGGACATAGAACACTACAGGAACAAACTGCGACAGAAGGCTCGGAAGAAAGGCTACGGAGACTTTTCGCTGTCGGAGACTGGCAGCCACGGTTACGGTCACCGTGACGCCAGACACGGTCGGCACGAGGGCGGAGTCAAAGAACCCATGACGGCAGAGGAGAAGAGGGCTTCCTTTGCTGGATGTCATAAAAGGTAGAAGTTACGATCAAGAACTCTTTGGTATAAAAACTCATTCACAGTTTTTTTTTTTTTTAGTCAGTCAAGTTTGAATGTAGCCACAAAATCAACGTCGTTGAAATTCAGGCTAGCAGGACATCGTAGGTGGTCTAAGATTTTCTACGCGCTCCACCAGGTACTCCCACCCCAGGGAGCCCACCTACTGGAGCAGACAGTCCCTGAGCACCCCCAGTCCAGTGGAGACAGAAATGGACCTGTTGGTTCTGAGAGAAAGATCCAGAAGAGGCATCCGCAACAACGGCTACGACGTGAGTGTCCTGAACTTCAACGACTGAACGACTGAACCTTCCTCTTTTTACTGAATAATTTCATCATTTATTATTAAACTGAATAGGAATTCATTTTTGTTATTTTATTTTGAAATGAAGAGACAAAATGACTCGGTCCTTAAAATGTCAAACTTTTTTTTTTTTTACAAACAGTACCGCTGTAATCTGATATGAACCGACAAAAGACGGTATTTTAATTTACTGTAAAACAAAGGGAGTATTTTGTTTTTTTAAATGTCCTCTGAGGGATCCTGAAGTCATTCTGGTTCTGGTTCTGGTTCTGGTTCTGACTCCACAGGGAGAACCGGAACCATTTGAGGAGACCAACGTTGACCGCCTGATGAGCTCTCTGGGATTCGCCGGCGGGTCGACCGGCACCGGAACCAGCAGCCTGGGCGTGAAGGCTCACCGCGGCTCCGACTCGTCTACGCTCAGCTCCCAGCCGTCCATCGACGAGGTCCGAACTCAGATGCACATGTTGTTGGGCAACGCCTTCAGCCTGGCCCCGCCCGACCATCCTCCGCCTTCTCCACCCACCACGTCGGTCCAACAGTTCCAGATCCAAAACAGTTCCACGCGTGAGGTCCGGCCCATCACTGCACTGAAACCTCTGTCTTCTCTCGTCAGCAGTCGGCACCATCACCTCCACCACGCCCACAACGCCTACAACCCCGCCCACACCAACCACTACAGTGACGGAGTGACCAGCGCTCCGGGCACCATGAACCATCCCTGTGGACCCCGACAGAGGAGCCTGGCCTACGAGGACCACCACCAGTGCAGCCTGCCCAAACCGGTGAGGTCAAAGGTCAAGGTCACCGACTGTAGTGTCTGTCTGTCTGTCTGTCTGTCTGTCTGT